GATTCTTGGCCTTTGTTCTAGCTTCTGACTTGATTGAGCTCCTCTTCCTGAGAAATGAGCTGGTCAATTATGTGACCTATGGACTCTGTGGTCTTGCCAACATTTTTTTCTGAATCTTTCTAGAATCCTTCAACTCTGCGGTCAAAGAGACTAGGGTTCCTTGGTAAGTTGATATCACATGATTCTCATTGGCTGGTAAACCTAACTTTACCCACTTAATGCTTATTTTAGGCTTCACACATATTTTAAAAGAGAGGAAGGGGCATCACAAACAGGAAGCTTCAGGTCCAGCTTTCGAAATGCCTGAATCTGGGGTTCCTGGATCAGCATGTCATGTTGTATGGCAGAGAAGTTGGCATGGGCTTGAATTCAAACTGACTGGGTGTCCAGACCCTGTCATTTGCTACAGGTTCTCCACCCAGGTTCCTTACCTGTAACAGGAGGTAGTGGTATATCCTTGTTGGGCGAGTATCAGCTGGGGATCAGTGAGCTTAAGTAGAACTCTTACTGCAGAGTCTGGCCTGGGGTCAATGTGGATCCAGTGGTGGATGATATTATTATTATTATTATTATTATTATTATTATTTCTCCTTCTCCAAGCAAATATTCTGACTTTGAGATATTTCAAAAAGCTTTTTGTCCTACTCACTGGCTTGTGACAGAATTGTGTGCAGAGAGCTGGAGCCAGGTGAACTGCTCTGAGGTTCGAGAGAGCCATGGAAGAAGTGCTGAATTCATTACGAGCAGCTTCACTAGGCTGGGGTGGGCCAGGCTGAGGGGCCCCAAGGACTAGAGACCTAGTCCCCTGACACACAGACAGCCTGCTTGTCTCTTGCTCCCAGGGACCTGGTAGTCCCTGCCCAATTTAAAGTTCACACTCTCCAACCATACAAAATTTCAGGTTAGGCAACTAAGGGGCCTGGGCTTCAGAAACTCAGGTCCATTTTGCTATCTCTGGAGTGCCTTGCTGGATTGAGTGGGCACAGGAGAGACACTAGGAGAGCACAGGCATGGGCAATCTTCCTTTATTCCTTTGTTCCTTCATTCGTTTGTTCTTCTTTCTGGACTCGGACTTGAACCCAGGGATGATTAATCAGAGTGACCTCCCCAGTCCATTCCATTTCTTAAAATTTTGAGACAGGATCTCCTTAAGTTGCTGAGGCTGTTCTCCTGCTTCAGGAGTCTCTGGGATTGCAGTCATGTACAACTGCATCTGCATGTTCTTGTATTCTCACAGGAAATTTTGGAAGGCAGAAGGGATCTCTCTTTGTCTCTGGACAAAGTGTGGGTAAGTCTGGATCTCAGGGTCCTGAGATACTTGGTCCTGAGGCATCATGGGACATGGCAATGTAATATAAAATCCCAGCTCAAAGGAGTACATTTTGAAAGAGATTTCTAGATGTTTTTGTTGTTGTTGAGATTGGAGTCTCACTATGTTATGCAGACTTATCTAGAATTCCTGAGATCAAAAGATCTTCCTGCTTTAACCTTCTAAGTAGCTTGGGTTACTGTATGTGCCACCACACTCAGCAAGATTTGTGTTGGAATCCCCTGAACTCTCATTATGGAATTTCCATGATTCCTTTCCTGAGTTTTCCCACTCCTCCTTACCCAAAAATGTTCATATCACATACAAGCATCTTATATATTATAATTTTTCCATAATTTTGATTGGTGAATCAGCATCTTGGATATCAGGAAATAAGAAAAGTGAATATACTAATGTGATTTCCCCCCAAGTAGGCTTTCTGCCCCACCAAGATTCTGCATCTAGGGATCTTGTCATCTCATCTGTTCTTGGCATCTTGTGACATAGAGTGCCTGCCCATGAGTACTGCAGGAATCTTAGAGGGATTCAGACTGTCCTCATGTCTTGGCAACAAGAATACCACAGAAACCACTGGTGCCTCCCTGCTGTCCAGCATTACTATATCAGACATATGTCCACATTATAAAAACCTACTTGTCATCTGGGAGAAAGTAGAGGACCAATGTGCTGAAACTGAGAGTCCTACCCCCTGACTCCCCAGCCCGGTCCCTGGTTGAGGAAGCATGGGCTACCACCATGCTACAGAGACAGGCCTTGATCCTTTAAGCTGCATGAGAAGAACATAGTCCAGTTTTTCTTGGTTGGGTCTCTTTTCAGGCCTGCTCTGATAGTGGCTCACTCTATTTTTATATTAGACACTGTCTCCCCTTCTCATTGCCAGATGCCCTCCATACTGTTGCTCACCAAATCCTATAGAAACAGCTGTTCCACCAGCCCACTCTTGGCTACATGCAGGTGGAATGTGATTCACAACTGGTATGAGTGCTTCAGTGTGTCAGGAGCCTGGAGCGTGTGGGGAGAGCATATTCAGTCCCCTGGACTTTGCACAAGCATCTGGGCATTGGTTCCAGAGTGTTCTAGGCTGGCTGACACTTCCTTTTCTGGATACAATGGCATATTGACTTGAAAACAAAAGACCTTCTCTCTAGTTGGAGTGCTGGAAGAGACTCCAGTGCCTAGCACCACAAAGAGAGCTCCTACTTTCTTAAACCAGGCAAGAAGCAAGAGAGTAAGGAAGAGCTTCTGGCTTTAGGTGTTGGCTGGAATCCTTCTCTGACTCCTATTCTTTTATTACTTGGGCCAAAATGAGAGGTCCTAGTCATTCAGTTTCCAGGGAAGTTTCCCTATAGTCTCTCCTTTCCCATTCTTTCAGGAGTTTAGACTTGTTTTATCCTGCAGCTGTGTTTATTTGAGGAAGCATTGGTCATGTTGCATTGACAGTACCAAGACAGTAGCTGACAGTCAGGGTCCCTGTCTTAAAATCTAGGACACTGGACTTCTGGGACTGGTAAACAGGTTCCTATCCAGGGCCAAGGAACAGATAGCAGGTTTATAATCAGTGCTTACAAACATAAAACTTGTTGAAAAACTCCTAAACAGGCCACAAACTTGCAGTTGATTTTGTGTATAGCCAAAGGGTTTGAATAATGATAACAGCAAAATGATGTCTACTGAACATGTGCTGTGTCAGACACTGCTAATTTAGTCCTCATATTAACACTGTATTTGGGTTCTCTAAAGGAATAGGATCCATAGAATATATATTATATATATTAAATGTAACATATGAATATATAAAGAGAGTGTGTGTATATACATACATATTTATGCATATATATGTGTATATATATATATATATATATATATATATATATGCATGTATATATGTATGAATTTAAAGGTGGATTTATTAGTTTGGCTCACATCATCAAGGCTGTATTGTCCCACAATGACTGTCTGTAAGCTGGAGAGCCAGAGAAACCAAGAAGGATCTGAATCCCTCTGGCCAAGAAGCTGGAGTCTCAGGGTAAGAGGGACCAACGATGTAGTCATGGCTCTATGCTGAAGACTTGGAAGCCTCCTGAAGGGTCACTGGAGGTGATTCCAGGATGAAAGGCTGAAGAAGCCAGTCTGATGTCCATGGGTGATGGGCAAAGCAACAGACACACCTGCTCTCATAGAAGAGAGCCTGCAGGTACTGTGTGGCTTCCTCTTCTGCTTTTGTTCCATCTGTAGGACCATGCTGCTCACTTTCAGCTTGCTGTCCCCCATGCCAGTTGTCTCTGGAAACACCCTCTCTGACTCTGTTGGAAATATGCTTTATTAGTTAACTAATCATCTCTCCATCTAATCAAGAGGATACTCAGATTTACTATCACAAATCCTGTAATAAAATGCATAAAGTTAGATTCTTATAATTTTTTTTGTAGATTAAAGAAAGTTACATAGTTTGCCTAAGGGAAGAAGTGAATGGTAGAGCTTAGATTCTTACTCAGTTTGACTCCATGTCCCTTAAACTATGATATACCCACAGCAGTGAGTGTTGATCAATTTCTATTATGACTGTAGTTTTTCAGAAGTGTTGGAGTATGGAAACACATCACCTTAAGTTAGAGGTTCTTCCTAAATTCTTGCATAGTTTTCCCCCCTTTTTGTGGTGCTAGAAACCTTGGGCTTCCTGCATGGTAAGCAAGTGCTCTCTCTACCACTGAGACACATTCCCAGCTCTTCCCAAAATTCTTAAAAGAGCCAATCAGGAGATCAAACATATAACCACACCAAATATAAAAATCCATCAGGAAGGGGATACCCAACCATGCCGTCATGCAATGCTTATTCATAATGTCCGATACTTCACAATGCTACTCCAGTCCTTATAATCACATCTGAGAAGGCCCAGTTAGAGCCCACATTTTGGGCTGTGCACACTTTTTTGCTGATTTGCTGACATACTGGAAGCAAGCCCACTTTTTTATTACTTGTTCTGTTCCTCAAAGCCTCAAGAATAATTCTCAGTGACCCTTAACAAATCCCAAAAGTGTTTCCAAAGAAAATGGAATGAGGAAACAAAAAATAAGAGAGTGACATTAAGTTCCATTTTATCCTTAGTGTGAATATACCAAGGTTTGCATGGTTTAAATAGATTTGCATTTTAAATTTGACATTCTCTTGTGCCTGGATACCTTATTTTGGGTCCTCAGATGACCTATGTAGTTACATTATAAAACTGTAAATTTTCTCAGGGGGAAAGGAAAAAAACAATTCCAAAGAAGGTGAACGATTTGGATTAGAATTATATTAACATAATCCAGCTTGGAGTGAAAATTTATTTTGTTAAATTCCCCAAATTTTCTGTTTCATTTCTGTCACTTCTTTTCATTATTGTTGACAAGAGAAATACCAGTCTAAAAATTAACCCACACAATCCAGTAAAACAATTTCCTTGAATGGCAATTTTAATGAACTCTACCCCTGTGGATTTTCTATGACCTTCAACAATCACTTTGACTTTTTAATATGCTTAGAGGATGATCGGCTATAGAATATTAATGAGAAGAATCTCACAATTCTCTCTACTCCAGATATTACTGGCATGGATACGGGGATCCCCAGAAATTTCCGGGCCCAGGTTCTTGATGTTCAAACAAAGAATTGATCCAGACCTATGAAGTTGACAAGCAAAGCAAAGGTTTATTGGAAGTAAAAGCATACACTCTGGGAGAACATAGTGGGCTGAGCTGCAAAGTAGCTCAAGGTTCTGACTAAACAGTGGAGTTCACTTTTATTGGGCTGTGATAATTTTACCTACCCCTTTTCCCCTGGGTGGATTGGGGTTGATTGGAACCTTGATTGACAGTTTACTTTAGTGTAATTTTTTCTTTACTGGCTATGTGTAAATTTATTTTTCCTTGGGAAATGCACACAGGGGGAACAAACCACAATATTAATGATATGTTAACTAGCAACAGGTGAATTTTAGGTCAGTCCCTCAGATTATTGCACATACACAACCAAGATCTGGAACTTTCACATTAGGGGCTTGAATTCCCCCTTGTGGCCATCTAGCTTCCTCCGTTAGTTGCAATATAACCCAGTTTTCCTTCAAAGAAAAGTGATTCAGACAGTGTATTAGGTGGGTTAAAAGCTTGGGGGTGTTACCTACATTTCTGTCTTTGCTATCTATCCCTTTTTATGCTCTAAATCCTACTTAACACTGAGAATGTTAAGTAGACGATCAGATGATTTCCCCAAATCTCCACACTCCAGAAACAATATCTAGATTTTCTCACAGTCTTTGTTCAGCATAGAATATTTCATAGGAGAAAGTCAGTTCTCAGTGATTCCCCTGGGTGTGTCTTCAATATTTGCTGATTTGGCTTTGCCTCCCCACCCCCATGCTCTGTATCCTGCCTTATCAAAGATAGAAGGATTTAATACAAGTCCCTTTTCCAGAAACTTTTGGTCATTTCCTTCCTTCTATACACTTGAAAATATGGTTTAGGAGCAAGTACCTCATTAAACCTGAAAGGTGAAATGTTTGAAAAAACACCCCAAATCCTAAATGAATTCTGGGTAACTTAGTGGACTATAGTACTTGTGTCTGGTCTTTGAAGCAGAGAATAAGTGATGTCTTCTGTACTGTTTTAGAATGGTGCCATTCCTGAAGATGGTGCCATCACTTGGGGGTTGGGGATGATTTCCGATTTGGACATGTTGAGTGTGAGGTGCCTGTGGGATCCCTGGTGGGAAGAATACCACCATAAGACAGAGCCAGGCCTAACAGCCAAGCAGGTCAGCAGCCCTTGGCTGTCTCCTGACTTGTCTCACAGGAGACAGCCCAAGGTCCAGAGCAGCCCTGCCTGCATCGAGGACAAGACTGTGGCCATCAGTACTGCTGCTCCCTTCACCTGTCTGTACATAGCCACGCCAGGACCCCTGTCCACCTGCCACTGCTTGGAGATACTCAGCACCACTGGACTCAGTGCTCAAAGCTTCTGGGTAACAAGTCAGTTCAGGAAATCTGCTGTAGAGAAAGCCCTCCCAAAGCTACAGCAGTAGGTGAGACCTGGTGGCAGGCTGCCCCCAAGGAGCTCTGATGATGAGGAAATGTCACAAGTCAGGATGAGACAGGTAAAGTGAAAGGTGCTGTAGGATATAAAGGGGACAATCTCAAAGTGCATCAGAGAAGAATGCATGAAAGAGATGGTGTCTGAGCTGGCTTTGAAAACTCATCCCAGTGTGACTGAGAACAGCAGGAGCAAAGACCTGGAGGTGGGGGCAGTGCAGAGGATGTAGTGATTGGCTGGCCTGTGTGGAGGGGGAAGTGGAAGTCAGGCTGAAGAAGCAGATGCTGCCAGACTCTGGGGGCCTTGAAGACTCAGCAAGGATTTGGACTTAATGCTGTGGTGATGGGGAGCCATGAAGGGTCTCGATCAAAAGAGTGATGGATCAATTGGGGCTAGACTTCAATGGCAGAACCACTATGAGGAATGTGAGGAATTTCTTTTAGAGACTAGAGGGACAGAGCCTTGGGAGCAGCTGGAGACACCAATGAAAGTTGGTACCTCTGTGTCTTGTGGTGGGCCTGAAGGTGCTCCAGGACCCTGGAATGACAGTCTGGAAGAAGGTGGGTGTGAAGGGAGAGAAAGGACACCTTCTCTTCTCGTTTTGTAATGGTGCCCAGCCATGTTACAGATGGGTCCTGTGGTGGGGGTGAGGGGTGGATAAAAGGAAGCAGAGCAGAACCCCAGCCAAGCCCTTATGGACCTGGGGCATAAGTGAGAAATCTGTTGGTTTTAAGCCACTTAATTAATGATTCCATTACCACAAGATAGGCTAGCTCATGTTGACTGACAGAGTTGGAGGGCAACAGTAAACGTGGGAGAATTTTCTAGTGAGCAGACCTCCCCCAAGCAGAGCTGTGACAGCTGCTTTCACCTCTGCATTTCTTAGGCTGTAGATGATGGGGTTCAGTGAGGGTGTCACGGCGGCATAAAACAGTGTGATAATCTTATCCACATTGGGGTTCTTTGCCTTAGGCTTGAGGTACATGAAGGAGATGGTCCCATAGAAAATCACCACCACTGTGAGGTGTGCAGAGCAGGTGGAGAAGGCTTTGCGCCGGCCTGAAGCAGAGGGAACCCGAAAGATGGCAGCCAGGATGAAAATGTAGGAGAGGCAGATGAGCAGGAGAGGGGTCACTGTCAGGATGGTTGTAGCCACCATCAATACCAGGGCATTAAGGGATATGTCCCCACAGGCGAGTTTCAGCACTGCTAAAATCTCACAGAAGAAGTGGTTGATGACATTGTGGCCACAGAAGGGGAGGCGCCAGATCAGGATGGACTGTAGCAGTGAGTTGACAAAGCCTGTCCCCCAGCTCAGCGCTGCCATCTGCATGCACATCTGTCCAGTCATGAGCTCTGTGTACCTGAGTGGGTGGCAGATAGCCACATAACGGTCATAGGCCATCGCAGCCAGGAGCAAGCATTCTGTAGCACCCAAAGCCAGGGTCAAGTACATCTGCAGGGCACAGGCTGGGAAGGAGATGGTACTTCTGGTTTGTAGGAAGTTGGTGAGCATGAGAGGTATGAAGGAGGAGGTGCCACAGATGTCTATGAGGGAGAGGTTGCTGAGAAAGAAGTACATGGGGTTGTGCAGGTGGGGGTCCAGCATGATCAGCACCATGAGGAGGGAGTTCCCCAGCAGATTCATGCAGTAGATGCCCAGGCAAAGCACAAACAGGACCACCTCTAGGTCATGGTGCCCATGGAGCCCCAGCAGGACATAGTCCATCACGGCTGTCTGGTTTGTCTCCTCCATCTCATCCTCTTTGCTCTTTAACCACAGAGCTTTTGGAAAGAAGCTCTTGCTGGTGTGGGGACCAAGGGTGGTAGATGTGTGACTTGCAGTGTATCAGCCTCCCTCTCTGGAACCGAGTTTTATCATCTGTACAAGGAGAGAGTTGCTGGCCTTCAGGCCTGCAGCTGGCCCTCCCAGCTTGCAGTTCTTCCCACCTTATCTAGGGGGCGATGTGATGCATCTCAGCCTCCTGGACTACTTACTGTCTGTTCTTGTCTGAAGCTCTCAGAGGAGAATCTTTGACATATTTTGTGGTTTTTAATCCAAAGTACTCTAACCTTTTAAAGTAAGCATTTTTTCTTCGTTATGACTTCTTATGACTGAATTATGTCCTCAGCATTACGGATTTCTTCATTTGCTGATTCATTCAGTCTGTGTTAGGTATTGTTTCAGGTGCTGAGTCTACATCAGTAAGAAAAATAAGATCAATAAATTTTATCCCATCCCTCTTGCTGGCTGTCTTCTTTGACTGAGGTGAGATTATCTCTGAGAAGCAGGTGTGTGATAGATGATCATGAAGGTGTCCCTCTGGGCCCTGAGGATGGTACATTTTGCCTTCATAGGATGTGTAAATCCGATAATGGTCCTGTCTCCTTAAGGAATCATAAACCATTTATTGTGGGTTTTTTTTTTTTTTTTTGAAAAGACACACATAAACATATATACCCCAGTGGAGCTGCTGGTCACAGGATTTAACCTTGGTCATGAGATACAAGTGACTCACTTGTGTGTCTCTGTTGGGGCAAGCCCAAAATGGCTGTTTTTGGGCCCTCCTGCTGAGATTTCCAGGGCTGGGAACTGGCAATTTTATGTTTAGTCGATTCTAGAAACATTCTGATTCTGCTTGTATACTCAAAGTCATAAACCTTAATTTGTGTCCATGTGCCCCCTTAGGTAGCCTCTTGGCAGTGTGCTTTCTTTATCTGTCCTTCATATAAAAGGCCTATGGAAAAGACTTGGGGGTTCAGGGGGCAAAATGAGGGCTGAAACTGAAGATGGAGGCAGGAGGCTTTGCATCTTGTAAATCGTTCCACCTGCCGAGCCCAGAACTTTTTTCCTGGATCAGAGCCCCTGCACCACAGCATCCATATTACTTTTTAGGATAAGTGAGATTGGCAGAGCTGTCAGTCAAGCAGGGGACACCAGGAGCTAATCTGGCCTTGGTGTGGCCAGTTGTTGACTAGCTTTAGAAAAGGGAATTGTGGGCAGGGACTGCTTGCTGCTAGGCAGCCTTCACTGCTATGCCAAGCTTGGTGTCAAGCTCTCCTTGGGGAAAGGACAGCGTCAATATTCACAGGAGGGAGCCTATATGTCCCCAAAGCATAATAGTGTTGTTAGGACAGAAAAACTGTCTTATGGGTCAGGTGGCCCCTGGTGTGAAGGAAAAATAGGAGGTGAGGTTGAACTTTGATTGTTCAGTAGATATAACGCATCCCCGCCCCCCCGCCCCACTCTTGGTTTGTCTGTAAAGTCAGACAAACTAGGACAGAGATAGAGCCTGTCTTTCATTTTGGGCTGGAATATTTTCTCATTGCTCCTGCTTAATCATATCTGCCGTTTGTATGGGCCCCATGCTCCAGTGAACCATGTCTTTCCCAACTCTATATTACTTTGCCCAAGATTGAGGCATGTCCTCCCTTCTTGCCAGTGGGGGCCTCCCTGCTCATTTTTCAGAGACCAGCTCTGGATCTCCTCTTCTTTTCTCTGTTCCTTGCAGAGTTACCTGCTGCCTTCTTGTTGACTCATAGCCATCCTTTTATATTACTATGTGGCAGGTGATTTGCCTGCCTTCCCTAGCACACCTTGAGGGCAGAACAATATGCCCTTCCTTCCTGCACTACCCATACCTGGTGCTGCCTAGAGCAGGCACTCAATAGGTTTGAATGCCTGTTTAAGAAATCCCCCAGATGGTCTCCTTGTTTCGGCACGTAGTAGCTGTATGATATTACCAAGACTCACTGCCTCTGAAACTGCTTTCCCTTTGAAAATCGGAGATCTGTGCAGCACAGAGGAGACACACATGGACATGCTTGTAAGCCACCCAGGGTGGTACAGCCACATATTACTGGGGCTCCAGATGGAAGATTGAAACTTCAACCACAGGCACCTGCTTGGTCTGTACTTGTCACCTCTCAAGACAAGGGCTCCGTGGAGGGCTGATGCAGGTTTTCCTTTCTTTAACCTGAATTAAGGTGCTTGTTAAGGGACAGTTTCTGTAATCTGCAATTTACATGGCAGTTGCTCAATCTGGGTCAGTAATTCCCCTTAAATTATCCATATGAACATTTGAAGGCAGAGTTCCTTGGGCTTAGATTGGCACAAAGATAAAGAAATGCCCAGTGTGCTGTGTCCTTCATTTCCTACTTGACTAATAGTCACTGGGCAAGTACTACGAGCTGGTGCCTATGCCAGGTACTGAGAATACAGCAGAAATAGTCATGTCTTCTACCCTCCTGGAGTTTATATTCATTTATTCACTCTCTAGGTCCCAGCAACCTTGGACACATCTCTTTCCTCCTTTGCTTTAGACCTCCAGTATTGTCCATGAGTCTGGGGTATAAAGACAATTGTCAAATCTGAAATCTGGAAAGAAGCCATGGGAGGGCTCTGTCTCAGCTCTGTGTGCACTTACAACAGACCTATGTTCATTTCAAATTCTGACATTTTTTTTTTTCAGGCAGAGGAAGGTGGTAATTCCCTGAGTCTGCATCTCTCTCCTCACTCTGGTCTCTTACCAAAGACCCAAGAGGGAGAGGTGCAGGCATTTGAGGCTTCTGGCAAGACTGTGGCCTGCCCTCTTGCCTCACTTCCACACCACCCGTCACACACACCTGCTTGGCCAGACTACTGCCATTGCTGGGACAAAGGCTGCTAGACGGTCAGGGGCTCATGCATGCTAGGCCAGTGTTCTACTTCTAGCTACGTCTCCATCTCCTGCTTAGTTTGTGGTGTGGTCTTAATTTTTGTGCTATACTGTCTCCACTGGTCACTTGGCCAGGTGGCAGGAGGGGAGCAGACATTGACCTCTTACCCTTAGACCCTTTGTTGTCTACTTATTCTTATAGGCTGAGTTCACCCTGCACTTTCTGCATGCAGCTCACTCTGATGGCTCTGAAGGACTGTCCACCCAAACTACAGGATGGTTGCCCTGCATTAACACAGATTAATTTCATTGTGCCTTGAATTCTGGCTAGATTGCTGATTCTCTCTGACTAGACTGTTGAATAATGAGCAATTGAAGCAAAAGTGCTGTGTCTGGTTCATCACTGTCACCCTCCAAGTGACCTGCCCAGGAGTATCAGTGATTGCCATTCTAATGGAACTAAGCATTCATTGAAATCCAGAGCTGCTATTCGTCCCAAAATCTCATCCCAATGTCTCACCTTGGGACTAACACTCCTTACCCGCTTCCCTGTCCATCACACTCTTCAATAGAATGATGCCACCATTGTGATTGCTGGGAGATGAGCCTTGTGATCCAGGCTCCTGCCTGTGGGAAGAGTTGCTCTTTCTGGAGAGCTACATCAGGGGCATGGTGAGTTTCCTTGCAGCTTAAGGGTCAGAGTATGGCACATTCCTGGCAAATAAAAACAGCCCAAAGAAAGGAGTCTGAGTATAGAAAAGCCAATGTTGCAGGTGCCCAACAGCTTTGACTACAACCCAGGCAAAGGATAGGACTTTGGGGAGAACTGGTTAGGATGGCTCGGTTATGCTGTGCTAATGCACAGGTTCATATTTTTTATGACTCAACATGACAGAGGTTTTTTGCCTTCTCATGCTGTATGTCCACTGTGGGTTTCAGGGGCCTATCCTCAGAGACCCTGGTGGATGGAGGCTCCACCATCAAAAGCTTTACCAGTTATTATGGCCAGGGAATGACACCTGGAGCATCTTCCACCAGCAGTGAAATGCTGTGACACATTTCACACCTGCCCACAATACCCTGGCCCAAAGTATTCTTAACACATGCCTAGAGCAGCTGAGCAGCCCCTCTGCCTTTGGGTGCCATGTTGTTTTACCGTATATTCCAGGGCATCTCTCCGCCAATGTCACACACTCTGTCATCTTCCAGAAGACTAGATTCACAGAATGATCAGACACTGAATGGCTCTGAAAGTAATGGTTTCAGTTCACTTCACAATTTTATACCTCTTGAATGGTGGGGTGAGCATGAAATGAGCCCTAGAGTGGGTGGATGGAGCCCAGGTTTGATTGTTGGCCTTTGTTCCTGTTCTGCAGTCTGACTGGATCCAGCTCCTCTTTCTGAGAAATGAGCTGGTCAGTTAGGTGACCTCTGGACTCTGTAACCTTGCAAACATTTAGTCAGACTCTCTAGAATCCTCCAATCCTGAGGTCAGAGAAACTAGAGTTCCTTTGTAAGGAAAATATCACATGAATCTCATTGGCTGGTAAATCTAACTTTACCCTCTTAATGCTTATTTTAGGCTTCACAGATCATTTTAAAATAAAGGCAAAGGCATCACAGGCAGGAAGCTTTAGGTCCAGCTTTTTATTTATTTATTTTAATTGGTACTTGGATTTGAATCCAGAGGCACTTTACCACTGAGCCACATCCCCAGCCCTTTTTATTATTTTTAAAATTTTATTTTGAGAGGGTCTCACTAAGTTGCTTAGAGCCTCCCTTAGTTGCTGTGCTTTACAATTAGGGTCCTCCTGCCTCAGCCTCTGGATTGTGCAGATTACAGGTGTGCAATGCCTGCCCAGCACAGGTCCAGATTTTGTAATGCCTGGATCTGGGGTTCCTGTGTCACCACTTCCTCTTGTGTGTCAGAGGTGTTGGGGTGGGCTTTGGAGTCACACTGATTGGGGGTCCCATCCCTGTCACTTGTTAACAGTTTTCTCAATCCAGTTCCTTACCTGTAACAGGAGGTAGTGGCATTTCCTTGTTGGGTGAGTGTCAACTGAGGATCCAGTGAGCTGAAGTAGAGCTCTTCCTGCAGAGCCTGGCCTGGGGTCAATATGCAGCAAGTGGTGGATGATATTATTATTATTCTTGTGTCTCCTTCTCCAAGCAAATATTCTGGCTTTGAAATGTTTTAAAAAGCTTTTGTGAGACTCACACACCAGATGACTGCTCCTCCTAACCACTGGCCTGTGGCAGAATTGTATGCAGAGAGCTGGAGCCAGGTAAGATGACCTGAGGCTTGGGGGAGCCATGGACGAATTGATGAGTTCACTACCAGTAGATGCACTGTTCTGGGGTAGGCCAGGCTGAGGGGCCCCAAGGACTAGCGTCCTGGTCCCCTGCCATGCAGACAGCCTGCTTGCATTTTGTTCTCAGGGACCTGGTAGTCCCTGCCCAATTTAAAGTTCAAACTCTGTAATGACACAAAGTTGCAGGTTGGGTATCTGAGGGACCTAAGTTCCTTTCACTGTCCCTTGAGTGGCTTGCTGGGGTGAAGTGGCCACAGCAAAGAGACTGGACAGAGAATCTGATGATGGTCTCATTGCAGTCCAGCCCCCTGGATATTACAGGTTCTGAGAGTGGGTCTCTCCTTCACCAGGCCTGGTCACCTGGACTGAAGTGGGCTGTCTCCTTCCAGGATTGCTGCAGGACCTGAGTT